TCATATTCCGATCCTCTACGAACCCTTTCCTCAAGCTGTCACAATAATCCCAAAACCTGGCCGTAACGTTCCCACCGTGGTACCATCTGCCACCATACATGGGTTTGGCTGACCAACCGACCGACCGGTGCAAGATTTGCCTTCATGCGCACGTAATTGGCTATCCCGTCTATCAACCCAGGGTTAGCCTGACCACCGCCATTCCATTGCCACACATGCGCCATCCCGCGGTACATTATCCCCGTGAACTCCCTTCGCACATAGCGGGTGGGGCACTTCTCCAGGTAGTTACCACCACTGAAGTAGAACTCGCGCTCTGCCCGTGTAGGCCACTTTTGAGGCCAACTTGATCACTGACTTATGGATGAATCGATCTTATTTGGAATTTCATAATTCATAGGATTGTGAAAATATATATCTAACCTCATGTGAAGTTTAACATGTTGAACATGTAAGAAAATACGTCTTATTTTTAATTCTATAAAGAAATTATGTACAAAATTGTTTTGATACTATGAAATAGCATGATTTGGACTAGTTAAAATTTATTAACTAAATAATATAATACCTATAAATTATAATAAAAGATTAAATAATGTTGAACATTTGATTATTATTATTTTTATCATTACAACAATCACATGTATCATACACGACATACAAAATGAATGTATCAAATACGAGCTGAGAATTGAGTAAACAAGCCTAGCTCGAACTCGACTCGACTCAGCTCGTTAATAAATGGCTCGAGCTCGAGCTCAACTCATTTGTTAGCAAGTCAAGCTCAAGTAGGGGTAAAACTCGGCTCAGCTCGTCTCAGTTGCAGCCCTATCTCTCTCCCAAGAAACACTAGTTTAAAGTCGATAAGTAGACTTCCAACGGGTAGAAGTTCGGTATCAGTGATAGTAGTCATTAGATGGTCGTTACTCTACTGATAGAATGGCTCACTTGACATATAGTGAAATCGGCTACGAAAGGAAAGTCGGCACTAGAAGCGGAGGCCTAGTACCCATTTTCTTTATTCTGGCTGCCGATTAAAAGAGCTCACTAGGGAGCTCTTTTTAACTGATGGACCCCTAGGAACTCGTCCCCATGGATGGCTAGTTGCCTTAGTTGCATAGTTAGGCGAATCGTAGAGGTTATTGACTATGTTATCTTTGATTTTGACATAAATATGATGGTTTGATTTCCTTTATCTTTCGGTTTCTTCTTTCATTTGGTTTATTATTGATCGAATTGCTGGCGTAATATGAGGACTAACTTCAAAGGTTCTATTCTCAAACCTGACTTCGTGGGTGGATTAGACTGGACACGAGAATCCCTCACGATCAACCATTAATTAATAAAACTGCATCTATTTCCTCAAAGGAGACATCACTAGGGTCATAATATTTTTGCCTACTATACCTTGTATTCTCTACGACATATGGTAGGATTAAACCTAAAAAAGATCAACCATCTTATATGTTGCCAGGATCGAAGTTACGAATCAAAAAAACTCTAGGAGAGTTTGACTATGCAACGCCTCGTGCTCCTGCTTCCTCCACTCGCTGTTAGCTTTAGTTTTTCTTTTTTCATTGCTTTATTTTTAGTTTTGTGAAACCAGGGGAAATTTCAACACCGAAGGCACCTCAACCTCAACATTCATTTTAAAACAATCATAGAACTCGTTCCTCACCAACTGAGTAAGTTGTTTTTAGAGGCCCTAGAAAAATACGATTCTAGTCTTCAGATCAATAAATTTGACCATACACTACAACGTGATCATGGGCTCGCAGCAATTCAAGCGATAAGTTCTCAACCTAAAGAGAATTTGATTGGGAATGAGTTGAAATCAGAGAAGAGGGCTACTTCGTTAACTAATTTGGGGATTATGGATTTTGGAACCAAATGTAATTTTTGGGGGGGATTTGGGATAGAGCTTAATCAACTAAATCTCGACGATGGCGAATTGACGGATGGTGGCGAGGAGGCGGTTGCTTATGAAAGCCACCGCCAGGCCGAGGATCGAGTCACAGTGGGAGAGGGAGGGAGGGGTCGTTGAGGAGGGTCTCAACGACAACCACATTGGAGACAGAGTGGATCGTGCAATGGATCGATCTTTCCTTTGATGTTTATTTGTACCTTTTTGCTTTATATTTTTTTCCATATAACTACAAAAAAAAATGAAATATTTCCTCCTGACATGCTTTTTGACAAGAGTCACCACACAAAATAAGATACAACCACTACAACACCCCAACTATAAACACCCCAACCATTAAAAAAAAACACCCCAACTATAAACAAATGTCACTTGTTTCCTAATTTATTCAATAGGATAATCCTAGTACAAGCTATGAGACTTTTGTGACATTTGTATCTTGACGCTTTTGTTGACTATTAGAGATAACGGTTAACCAGATGATGCTCAAAACAATATTGACTTCTGGTGACATGGCAAAAACTTGGCATCACGTAGACACCATGTCATTAACTTGTTGGTCTTCTCCTGAGCGTCTTCCAACGCCGAGCAACGCTCAACTACGATCCCACCATTCTCATGGAACCAGGGCCTGTGGGAACTAGACTTTGATACCAAGTTGATGAACAGTTACCCACAGTTCAAGAATTTTTCTTGTAACTCAAAAGCGAGAGAACGACATAGGGGTCGATAAACCATAACATTATTATTTTATAACCGGAACTAATACCGAACTTACACTTCTACATCTATCTACACACTACTATATGGACGTTCCAGGTAAGGAGGGGGTTAAATTAGAAAACAGAAGCCTCTGCGCATATTAAGAAAGGCTAACTTTGTCATTCTACTTCATATTTATTTTGGCCCAAGAGAGGTGATGGCCAAGTTTTGTACGACCGATTAAAAATAAGTTATGAATTTGGACCTCTGTTATTTAGTTTTGGCTTGGTTTGGTATTTTACTATTTTATCTTTTATCTTTTGATATTCACATTAAAAACAAAATGGTCTTCCCACAAAAAGAAAAAAATGAAAAACTTCTGAAAATATCGTCTCAAGTTAAATTGTAACACGTAAGGCAAATCTTACATCGATAAAATACAGGAGAGATCCATAATTTATAAGTAAGAAACCGACTTTAACTGATAAGAAGCGTTTTGGGGTGAAATGGAGCAGTTATTGTGAGAACTCCAAAGTTAAACGTGCTCAGTGTTGAGTACAACAAAGATGGATAACCTTATGGGAAGTCACCTTGAATTGCACCCCAAGTCAAAAACCGTGAGGGTCTAGGCCCAAAGCGGACAATATCTTTGTCAGGAAAAGGTTCGGGATATTACACAAATCTTAAACAAAAAAAGAATTTCTAACAAAATTGCTAAATGAAAGTTAACATTTGGCTAATATTTTGTATTTAGAAAGGTTTGGCTAATAATTTGAAAACATCGAAAATGACAGGATAAGCACTACTGGCCCTTGTATCTCTCTAAAGTTAACGTTCAATCTTACCATTAACGTAAACATGGAGAACATTAGCATAAGAGAAAAATACAAACTAAAATTTAATTATTACGTTTTATCAAATTTCATTCGGCCAACGGGCCGCGCCCAAATCTAGTATATAGTAGGAAATAACATAGTACGTAACCCTACTACCCTAGCCCTAACCAAGCCCTCTAATTACCCTAGATCTTTCGGCCCATGCTATCTTACTTCCCCACGTATGACTTTGGCCCATGCACTAATATAACCCACCTACTAACTACGTAATTCAACTAACCCATACAAGCTTAACATACTTAGCATCAAACACTAACCGATCCATTCGGCCCAACACGTTCTCAGCAATCCTTCACGCTCAACGAACCTCGTCCCCAAGGTTCGGCCCATGTCGATGCCTAGAGGTCGATGACGGTGGAAAGGACGACTCTTGCGACGGCGAGATGTTTTCACATGTTTTCACTTCCTAAATGTTATGTAACTATCCAAGTACCATATCGAAAATACAAGGGAATAAACCCTTGTATATAAGTGTCCACCAATCTCATTAGTACGAGGTCTTTTGGGGAGGACACCCAAGAGTAAAACTGTGCGAGCTTGGCACAAAGCGGACAATATCGTATTAATTGAGCGGCCCGGTTATGGCAAGTGGTATAAAAGCGTAGTTCGGTTCAGGGCGGTGGAGGTCAGTTTGTGGACCCTCATTCGGTGACCTCAACAATTATCTTGATCCGCCAGACACCTTGTATCGATGTGCTTTTCGGTACAAGGATTTTCCCAGATGCAAAACTCTCTTTGATCTGCTTCCCAAACACAACTCTCTTTGATCCGCCAAGTCGAAACGTGGATCTCTCCCAAATGTGGCATTTATCTTTTTTTTTGGGAAGAAATGAAGGATTATTTAATGAGATATTTGGGTCATTATAAATTAAAAAAAATATTTGGTTGTTGGATGTTTTGCTGAATTTTGCTAAGTTGGGATTATGGTTTAAAATTAGATTTACCTTATTAGCTCTAAAAGTTTTATTACTAAAAAAGAAATTAGGGTATAATCATAATAATAATTAAATATAAAGTATTCGTTTACCTCTTCATAGCACACCTATTTATAGAAGTTTTAACTTTCCATGCCTCACGAATTTTATGCCATAATTTTATGTTGCAATAATTAGATGCATACAATTCCAAAATATATTCTTGAGTTTTGTTCCTAATTCATGAATCAAATGAATTTGGTAGCTTTCAATAATCTTAGAAGGAAAAAATAACTTAGAGAGTAAAACGGGAAAGACTAAGACCAAGAATGAAGTTCAATGTCAATCAACCAAGCTGAACCTGACATAGAGCATAAAGAATCAAGCCCCACAAGTAACTAAGTATAGATAAGCAAACACAAGAAAAAGATGGTCCAAACCCCATTGTGAACTTGAAAGAGTTAAAATGAAAATTAATAATTGACTACTTGAACATAAAATTTGTTTGTCATGCTCCGATGACGCTTCAAAATCGCGTATGTGGCACATTTAATTACCAGCAGTTTAGCCACGGTTGTACTTCTTCTTATACTGCCGCCAAACCTGATTCACACTCTTTCCTAGAAGCTGCTGAAAGTAGTTGTCGCTGTAGCTATACTTCATCTTCATATTCAGATCCGCTACGAACCCTTTCCTCATGCTGTCACAGTAATCCAAAAACCTGGCTGTAACGTCCCCACCCTGGTCCCATCTGCCACCACACTTGGGTTTGGTTGACTGACCGACCGGTGCAAGATTTGCCTTCATGCGCACGTAATTGGCTATCCCGTCTATCAACCCAGGATTAGCCTGGCCGTCGCCGTTCCATTGCCACACGCGTGCCATCTCGCGGTACATTATCCCTGTGAACTCCCTTCGCAGGTAGCGGGTGGGGTACTTCTCCAGGTAGTTAGCACTGAAGTAGATCTCGCCGCTGCCCGTGTAGGCCACTTTTGAGGCGTTGAAGACGTTGATGAACAGCTTGACCTGCTGGTAGTTTCTTCTGTCGCAAGGCTTGTATTGGTGAAAGATGTTCTGCCATATGAACTGCGAGGCCACCGCCATTTTATACCTTGTATAGTTGAGTCCGACTTCGTGCATGAATCGGACTCCGCCTTTGGTGGTCGGGGAGTTGTTGATGACCTGGAAGTCCACGTCACTGCCCCCGTAGATGGTACAGGCTGACGAGGCAATGATTATGAGAACCAGGAAACTTAAGCGGCCGGGAGACATTGCGTCCGGTCCCTTGATTCTCACTTCTTTTCTTTTTGGTCTCGGGAGCCACAACTGAGAAACTCGAGTTGATTGATACGTATGATCGTATTTGTTGGATGTATATATACTACTTAGAGTTCGTGCGTTCGATTGCGTAGATCATATTAAATATTACGGCTAACTGTTAAGAGGTTGGATCGTTTTCATCCCAATACATTCGGGAACACTTATTCTCATTTTGTGGCTACTACGAAAGCTCCATTGTAAGGGAATAATATAACTTAGCTGCATCAGTTAATTAAAGCTAAGCTAGTTAAAGGAAAAGATATCACACAACAAGACTTATCAACTATTATTATTTATAATTAAAATAGTAAAGAAAACACTTTTCATCCATCTGATTATCATGACATAATGACATCTCGTTAAATATAGGACACAATATAGGAAAGTGTTACTTAATCACAAAAAATGTCGCGTATAAAAGTATAATTTTTGTATTTAATCGCTTAGTCGCGAGAAAATTATTATATAAATACTAGTCGCGGGCCCGGCCAGTTGGCCGGATTCCGTTGCCAATTATGTAAACAACATTATCAAATTGTATGTTAGATACGTGGGTATTGATAGTATAAGAAAATATAAATTATTCAAATACTCGAAACATTCAAATTGATTAGTATAAGAGGATCCAAATTATTAAAGTACTTCAACAATTCAAAATGATCAATATCATAGTGTTTTTCAACATTAAAACTTACTCATCGACTAAATCATGTCACGAAAATGAAAGACAAACCCGAACCGACTCCTAAAGACATTTTAAAATCACCCTTTTATTTTCTCCTCGTCATTAAAGATTACTCCACGTTTACTTTTTGACTTGTTTGCACTTCCACCGTCATGAGTAGCATCATCATCTGCACCAATTATTTTGTCTCCGTCTCCATTATCAATTTCCTCTTCTTTCTTCTCTTGCATTTCAATATTCTCTTCCTTGTTGTCTTGCTTTTGAATGAGCACAAAAATTTGATGGAAACTATTTACAAATACCAATCATCTTTTTCATTGGAGTAGAATTTACCTCGTTCAAATTGTGAACAATATTAAGGATTCATTCTTTTTCCTCATCATTGGTACTTGTATCTTTCTCACGAACAATGTCTTTCTTCTTCTCAAGATCATCGTCATCTCTAGCACCGGATCTAATACATCCACCATTAACGGTCTCATTCTTGTTCTCTTGCATTAGTATTATGAATTAAGATCATCTACATTCAAAAGCACAACATATGGTGTAATTTTCTAGAATCATAGGTATTTAAAATATATTGGAGTAAAACTTGTAGCTGGATAAAATTGCTCGCATGTTAGTGTCAAAGGAAGCAAAGTTCCACTGGAGCTTTATGTTATAAACGACCTACATTTGCCTATAGATTTAAGAATACAACCAAATGTCATTTGTGCACGTTTAAAAATTGGAGGCATATATTTGTGCATGGTATAAAAATTGAAGACATATACGGTACTTGATAATACAACCAAGTATACAATTGCATGCATGCTAGTGGGTAATAAATGAAAGTTCCTCTCGAGTTTTAAGTTATACAATACAACTACTCGGTACATGATATAAATATTGAAGAGCTATATACTTGATTATATAACTAAGTATAATTTACACATGGTATACCGCTGATAGCAATTTATTTACTGGATGATAAATGCAATTAAGTGCATCACAAAACCAACACGTGAGAAGTAGACATGGTTAGCTGTTTAGTTAAATAATAATCAGAGGTGCATGTTCCGAATATACTCCAAATCCAATAGTGAATATCATAATTTTGTAATTAATATTGATTATCATTTTCATGCAAGTACAATTTATCCCAATCAAGTCAGGAGGACGGTCTGAGTTCTACTCTTCTGATCCTTCGTTATCCTAGAAATCGTGTACTCACTTGTTGATTAGTTATCTATTATATGAGCTTGATATCAAAGTACAATATGTGGTGTCCAAAAAGAATATACAATTTTATTTACTCTTGTCGGGATTTTTTTCAAAAAAATGTGGAGTAGATTTTGATTGGTAGGATGAGTCTATGGTAAGCGGCTTCCTGGATTTTTTCGAGGGTTGCTAGTACAATATGGTTCGGAGGTCATTCCCTCAACTAGTAGGAGATGAACAGGTAATCCTCTCACTCTATCGTTGTCTTGGAATAGTCTTTCAATCGACATTTCAAAAAATCCATCTCCCACTTGATATATCATAACAACAAAGTTAGCCTTAGTGGTTGTGTCCACAACTCGAAGGTGGATCCTGAATAAGTATAATGTTAGCAATGACATAAACAAAAATAGAAACTTATACTTTTTGGTAACTATCCTATCTAAGAGAGTCATCTTGACAACCAATCCTCTGCACCCAAATTGTATAGTATATTTGCGATCAGAGTTAAAGTAATGCATATTATTTTAAACTGAAAATAAAAGAATTACATACTTAATTGGAGCCTCCTTGCTGTTAATTTTTTCGGTGAGTGTTAGATGTCAATAAACCCGAATACTAAATAAGAAGGCCAACAACATACATGGAATGAAAATTTTAAGAAGTTAATTAATGTTTTTGGCTGTATACACATTAGATTTAAGTAAATTTGAATTGAGAATAATAATTCGAACCCAAAATAAATTTTCTTTGGTTGCATTCTTGTCACTCTCATCTTATTAGATGCAATAAAATTTGTAAGATGGTATGGCTGGAATACCATTTCATGCTTCAGCTTCTATATTTGATTCAAACTTATTGACCAAATTGTTTAGAATTGCCCTGTAATCTCCCATTGTCATGCTAACCACAAAGTCTTGATAGTGTAAACTCTCTGGTAATAAAATAGGAGATGAAAGTCCTTGATTTGTCCTTTGAAAATTTGCACCCAAATATCATTATCATCAAGAAAAAAGCATGAGTATTAATAAATTTTCAAATTTGAATCATAGAGTTGAATTCGCGTGGTTGTTGTTAGTTTACGCTTTGAGTCAATAACTATCATATCGAGGCAAAAAATAATATTCATATTGGGATTGATTGGCAGCCACTTCATCGAAACCTGACATTAAAGAATCGATCTCCTCTATTAAGTTGTGAGATTGGATACCAGCTTGGATTGTATCTTGACTAACCTCTAATTAAAACAACAGTGAAACAATTTTTTTTGTTTCACAATGGATATCATAATAACTCACAAAATATGTATTAAGCTCAATCTTGATGCGTGAGTGTGTGATTAAAGAAACATAGATTAATGCCTACTTAATTGTAAAGTTACGGAAGGTGTAACAGGAATGCAATTGCAAGGTAATACCATTTTTATGCTTCATTTTTCATGGTTTGACATGAAACCAGATGAACCACCCTGGTTTAAGTATTTCACTGTTTCATTATTTTAACCACAAAAAATCAAGAAGAAATGTACGTAAACATAAACTAAAACCATTCAACATCAATCACCTAATTTTATTTATGCTTTTTTGTTTTCATTTCCTAGCCTCCTTGTCGGATTTATCTGTTTTATTACGGATTGTCGCTCTTATTATTGATTTGAATTTAATAAAAAAAATTATGATTCATAGTTTAAATATTTTGTTATAACTTTTTGGTGCAAGATGATATGGATTTGAAATTTTTTGTAGGTAGTGATAAATTCATCCTTAAAGTTAGTATATTATATATGTATTTTATATTATAGCGCATGAACGGTTCTATCACGTATTAACCAACGCTTCTATAACAGTTAACCGTTAAAGTATGAATCACTAACTTTTCCGGTGGATTTTAAAAACATTAATTTTCTTGCACCTGCACTTTGCAATTGTCTCGTTTAAAGGACTAACTGGCTAATAAAATTAGGCGTGTGTCTATACTGTAAATTGCATGGGCATGGTGAATTATATTTGAACCGGACCATAATTATTATATTTAGATTTCCATTGGTCATTTAAAGGTGTAGAACTGTAGATAAGTAGCCATTCTCTTAGGCCCACATAAATTAAATCTTTCCGTGCTCTTAGGTCCATAAGATCAAAAAGGAAACGACCAAAAGACCCCTCCGTGGTCTGCGCTGGGTTCAGGAAAAATGGAATTAAGGGGTGTTGGAGGAGAACCTCCATATATGTATTGTTTGATGATGATTGATGTTTGATTGATTTGATTGATTTGTATCTAACTCTAAAAATCAAGGAAAACATATACCAGTTTTATCACTTTAATTGATCATAACATTGTTGGTGGGTCAATCATCTGATATTGTAATTTCTTCCTCCTTGTTTTGATAATTTTATCTTCTTCCTCGTTTTGGTTACTATACTGAGCACTTTATAAAGCATTGGTACAATTTGAAGTTGTACCTTAACGTCAAATGTATGAGTTCAGGTTGTACCATAAAGGAATTTGCACCCTTATGTTATGGTACAACTTGAAGTTGCACCGTCATATACATGTACAAGTTTAAGTTGTACCATAAAAGATTTTGTAAAAAAATATAGTTAATGTGAAGTTGCACTATAATATAAAATTCCTCTATGGAATTTTGGATCATATTAATTTTCTCAGACTGGTAGCATTGTTTTTCGATACAAAAGTTGTATATGTTTTGAAACCATTGGTTATCAAAAGTAATGGTTTATTGTCTTTGTTATGGTTTAGTTTTTTGGTTTTTGTTCGTGGTCTATATATGTAGCAGATGCAGTGTCGCTTTTTTATATCACTAAAATTGGTGTTATTTAGCCTACATATTGAGGTATGATTTGTGCTAATTCATGTGCTTAAATGTTTAAACATCGTCAAATACATTCCTATTGCGTTCCTATATATTTGATTTCGATATGACTTTAGGGTGTATTAGTCGATATGTGCGAATTATGTACAAAACAAGGACACAACTGTAGAGAAGGGGTAGGAATTGAAGATCGTGGTCTAGAAGCAGAAGATCACGGCCGGAATCACCAACCGCGAA